ATAACTTTATCCTCTGCCTGTGAAAAATATGTTTGCATATGTTACTCTAACCAAAATTTCTTCATTTTTTTGCCAAATTGTAGTCTTCAAGATTTAAGTTGGATTTCACTTTGAATGCCAATTTTCATGCTTCCATTAAGTAATTTTACCATTAGATTAGCATTTGATTAATTACTCAAAATATGCATAATCATTTGTTTTTGTAAATGCTCGATAGGCCATCTTGGGTACCTCCAGGATTCATGCTCAAGAGGATTGTGCATTGATTACTATTGTTTGGCTTAACGAAGTGATGTTCTCCACTGATACAGTTTGGTTCCATCTATCTTTCTTATTTCTACAATTCAAATATTTATGAATGAACCCTGAAAATATACCTTAATATTCTGATTTTGTTTGCATTCAATACAACATTTAACCACCTAGCAGTATGGACAAGATCATGCAGTAGTTCAAATTAGTAGGAGCTAATACATTTTTACCTAGATAATCTTTGTTTGAAGGGAACAGGTTTTTTAGTCAGATTACAACATGAGCCTAAAGACCTAAACCATGTCACCTCCATTCTACCTTTCACTTCAATTTTAATCCCAAAATCTCCGCTTGGTGATTTAGTTTTGGCACATTCTTTACATTCTTGTGATTTGGGATCACCAATATTTTGATGAAATTCTCCTGTGAGACTATGATGCGGACTGAGACTATAATCATGATTCACTAACACTAGGTGCTAGGTTGGCTAGGTTGCTGATGTTTCACAAGGTTTGGAGATGTGCCGGTGTGGAACGGTAGAAATATGTGATGCTCTGACCTACACGCGAATTGAGCTAATGTGGTAAAAAATAATGTGCTTTATACTCTTTTACTTATTTTTCCGATATTCTTTTAGCTAATAGAATCATATTTATCATGGCTTTATTAATTGGTCAGTCATTTTCATGTTACCAGTATCAAGGTTGAATCTCATGTTGATTGCCAGAAAACCCTAATGAAACATCTCTTGCTTACTGACCTAGGTAGTCATGCTAAGGTTTCTCAAGAAATTGCACTTCTGAAGTTTGTTAAGTGTTCACTCTAAAACACTTAAGGATGTTGTTCATCTAGAAACGTCTAAGAAGAAAGATAATACAAAAATTTACTCATGGCCTCTGAAAATCCTTGACATATTTTGCAAGCATTCATAGTGCTACATTGGAGCCCTAAAGTTCACATTTGTTGTCTCCCTGCCACTCTATGGCAGATGTTGTTTTCCCTTCATTTTTTTACTTTTCTACTCTAGGGCGTTCAACTTAGAATGTGATTCAAATTAATTGGCTGGGTGATCAGGTGTCTGATTCATTTTCCGGTTGAATCTATTGATTATGAAACCTTTGTTTTTTATTTTATTTTTACTTTTCTCCTCTAGCATTTCAGATTAGAATGTGATCCAAATTAATTTGCTGGGTGATCATGTGTAGGTTTTTTTTCACAAAACTGATTCTAAAAATCTATTGTTGCTGATTCATTTTTCAGTTGATTTTATTGATCTGCTAAACAAGGTTAGCCTTAAATATGTGCATACTCTCCATTGGTCCCAGAGTCTATTTTTGAAAAGCTTGTATCAAATCCAAACCAAATTTCTAACTGATTTTTATATATTTATTGATAAAAACATTTTTTGTACAAGAATTATGTCTTTCACAAATTTGATGTATTTTTTTCTGATTTGCTTTGAGAATGTGGAGCAGGCCAAAGCCATCCTTTCATGTATGAGGGAAAAAGGAGAAAGGGAATTAGGGATTGACATTTCACTTGTTAGTTTTTTTGGATATAATTAAGATGATCTTGTAAATATCTCAGTGAGACAGTAAGTTATATTTGCTACTTTGCTCTTTTATCTTTCCATGAACCATATTAGTGGTCAAGTGAGTAATCTGCCTTTTGTGGAGCTACTTCATATCACTGGTTGTTTTTATTAAGTTTGTTTTTGGTTGGAGGTCCTAATGTTAAACACTCTATATTCTTTCAACATGAAGCCTTGAACACCTGGGGAGATTCCTTCCATCAATGACTGAATCTGTGCTCCGGCTTAGGGACCTAAAAAGCTATGTTTTGGTATAATCAAACCTCCACCCTTCTCACTTTAGCGGAGTGTGCGTGCGTGATAATTTTTCAGTTACTCTTGTATCTGCATAAAATAATGCAGATTTGGGTTATTTTAGAGATTGGAACACCTTAAGGAGTATGCTCAATTTGTTTTTCTATATAAAATGGAGAACATGTTTGATCATAAGCCTATGCGCTCTTATATCCTTTGGATGGAAAAGGGAGTATGCTACACTCACTAAATGTATCTGTACAAAATATTCCATTTATTCCCTGATTATGTACCTGATTATTTACAATCTTCCATGTATTCCCTGGTTATGTAGCCGCTTATTTACATAAGCTTTATATTCTCTAGAAGTGTCATATAATTGAAGAAAAAAACTCAAGACGCCCTACAAGTAACATGAAGAGCGTTGTATTCCTCAAGTAGCCTATTTTAAACTGGGTCTTTTGTGTTTGTCCTTGTAAGATGGAACAGAAATGCTCATTTTGTTTATCTCCAATAATAATAAGTTCACATGTGATCCTGTTTGCATATATGTAACACTCAGCAATGAAGGATGTGCAATTTTTGTTATTCATAAAGCATTCGACATCTTTATGCATATCACAATGATCTAAGTGAAATATGAAGTAATCATAGCCTTATAATGAATGTTGCAATTAAGTTGATCTTGTGCACATACTCGCTTCGATGTGATTGGTTTTTTTGTTGCATTGTTAGGAAAAAAACCAAGAATTGAGATTTTTTTTGATATTGCTCTATTATAAAAAATATATTTTAATAGACACGTGCGTGTTGCACGTGCATGTCCACTAGTGATTTCAGTGTCACATAAGTTTTATGGTAGCTTTTTCTGAAACAGGAAAAGGTAGTAATAGAAACACATAATGCTCAGTCTACATCTATATCTATATCTATATCTATACCGGATAATAAAGAGGCAAATTTTTTTGTTATTTTTTTTCGTCCATCTTTTTTTTTTCCATGTTGCTCCAACTATTGACAATGGAGAGATTTCTTCTATCCGGACTTATATATATAACCTATGTTTATACGAGTTAGAATAGCTCTTGTATAGTGTGATACTGCGCTACTGTATTTCAAATTCAAGCAAATATAAGCAATAGAATTATTTTGAAATTTTGGAGGTGCTACGTGGGAGAAAATAACAGTCTCCGTATCGATCTCTATGAGCAAGATGTGACCAAATAGGAATTGGGGATGGTCACGGAAAAAGCGGCTGGACTAAGTCCGTTTATGATTAATTTTGGACAGCAGTGATTTGACCATATACGTGGTATAACGAGCACGAGAAGACAACTCCGAATTAAAAGCCTCCGTTCGTGCAGCAGGCCACATGCATGCTGGACGCACGCTCTGTCTTTGCCGTGCTTGTCTTCGTCTCTAAAAAACGAGGGCAGAACACGGGAGCCATATCGGAAGATGGGTGCTTGGGATCCGAAAAAAAAAAGAAAACAAGGACATAACTCTTCGGGAAGGAAGAAACAGATACGGCTACGGAGAGAGAGTGACAGAAAAAAGGGCAAAATTTTTACCTTTTATTATTAGGGATTAAGGATATATATAAAAATAGTTAAACATAAATAGATATGTATTTTGTTGTCGTTTCCTACGAATGTTTAATTTCTTCTCACGTTGCAACGCACGAGCTAGTGACAATAATGTAGCAAAATTTTTATGTATGGTTTTCATAGAACAACGAGGAGAAATGAGCATTTCTGAAGCGTCAGGTTGCCGTGTGCTTGCATGCTTCGCGAGTTGGCATCATCCGTCGCGGGAAACGGCTTCACTTAGAATGTTATTATGATACTAAATACAGATAGTTACTTTTTTTAGGATTCAGTATCAGATATAGATAACCCTGTTCTTCTTCTATGTGGAACTGCACCGGCCCGCTCCCTCTCCTAGCCATCCCTGGCTAGTGGCTCTCTTGCCGCCAGCCGCGCTCCCCCTCACCCCACTCTACCTTACCCTCCCCAAATCTCGACCAAAGGAGTCAGAGCTCAAGCACCTCATCCCCACTGCAAAGCTCTTTCCCAACTAGATGTCTCCCGTCGCCCAGTCACCCATTCGGCGACGTCCTCGTCGCCTCGCTTGCCACCCCTCAACTCGCCAACACCGTCGGTCTAGCCGCCGCTTGAGGCCTGCTTCCCCTTTTAAGGTTAATGGCAATGGAATCCCCTGAAAGCCCCAAAATCCCTAGCCCGGAACCCTAATGCCGGTGACGGCAGTAGAGGACTCATGGAGTCATGGGCCAAGGGGTCACGCGCTGCAAGCTCCACGTATGGTCGTGTGATAGAGTTTGCGTATAGATTTATTGGATGTATTGGATATTGATATATATCCCACATACATACACATATAAAAAAAATCGAATGTGAGTATTCAAATTTGATATAGTACGGATACTAAATGCAGAGTTCCGTTTGAAGCCATTTTTTTACTTATGTAGATGAAACCAGCTTTCATGGGCTTATGCAGTGAAGTTGTGTTTTGTTTTTTCCTTGTTAAATAGGGTCTAAGTTTGACTAACAATTACTTAAATCTTATATGCCTCTAATAAACAGTAGTAGTAATAACATATCGTTGATGTTGATTTCGGACAGTAAATGATATATTTAAGATAACTAAATACATTAAATTTGTCGATATGGTAAACTTAATGTGAAATTCAGTAATAGAACTAGTAAATTTACTAGGATCTTTCAGAACATTTTTTTACTCATTTACTCATTTTTTTAGAAGTACAATGCAATGCATCAATGGAGTCCTTGAGATTTTCTTTGCTGGGCCCACTACTCAGTCACCTGCTGCAGACCTAGAACTCCGCAGTATCGCCTGTTCGCCCTGTTGGGCTGGTCGTTTCTTTCCCCTTCCGCAAACCAAAATGTTGGCGGCTCGCCGCCGGCTGTCCGCCGCCTCCACCTCTCCACTCCTCCGCCACCGCCTTTCCGCCCAGACCCAGCCCACGGCATCGCCGGCGCAGCCCCCTCCGGAGGTGACCGATTCGGGGCCGGGAGCGTGGGCCGGCCGCGCGGTGGCGCTCTCGCTGCTGGGCCTGACGGGCGCCGTCGCAGCCAGCGCTGTCAGCGACCTCTCCGTCTTCCTCTCATGCTCCAGGTCGAACCCTTGAATCCCGTTGCGTCTTGCATTAAGTATTTACTTGTCCTCATGACGCTTAGCATCAGATCAACTACACCTTGGCTGTAGCGCTTGAATGTTGGGGATTTTAAGCCATTTTCTTAGCAGTGTATATAGCTGACCTCACCTGTTCCTATAGTTCAGGGTTTCTTGACCTGTAATGTAACCTAGATGGCTATACATATATCTTAAGTGCTTTTGGTGCCCATGTAAGAGGATGGATGGTGATTTTGTGGCAACATGTAGGATTCATGTACCTTTGGCCCTTTGGGTGATGCTATTTTCTTCATGTATTGTGCTATTGTGCTCGCCGTTGTTGGATTTTGTTTCCTTTGTCCACAAGAGGAATTGCTATGGCTCACTTCCTTTGGTGCCCGTGCTGCAGCCAGGCAATAGAGAAGGCCACCCAGAACCAGCAGATAGTCAATGCCATTGGTAAGCCGATTGTGCGGGGTCCCTGGTACAGTGCTTCCATTGCTGTGAATCACGTGAAGCATTCTGTCTCCTGCACTTTCCCGGTGTCAGGGCCCCAAGGAAATGGTCTTCTCAAGCTCAAGGCTATGCGCTTGGGAGGTGCGTGCCGCTAACTTCTTCACAAATCTATTCCTTATGAGTGAGTTGATTGGACTTGCTAGTATGCTAACATTTTTCTTGTGGCATGTTTATACTTGTAATAAGATATTCTTTCAAATATGTCTTTCAGTCTTTGTGCTACATTGCCTCAATGCCTCCGAAAAACTGAACCAATAATTGATGGTTTTTAACATTTGGATGCAGAACGTTGAATATGACTTAGTTTTTGCATTGCATATAAAGTGTTGCAGTAGATGTGTTTGCATTAATGGAATGGAAAACTATGATACTAATGTACATCATTTGCTGACTTAGCCAATTGGTTGCATTTTTTTATACAGTTTTGTCATGCCTTGGGCATAATAGGTATGTTAGTCCATATGCATGACAAATGCCCCAAAATATTACTGTAAAATCATTTGTCAAGCCACATTAATCCAATAAAATAGGTTGTATAACTGATGCTATTTGGGTGACTGAACAAGTCATGTCACAATTTTATCTTGATATTCTTCAAATTTATCTTGACCTTGAAACATATAAGGATGTATACTAGTTTCATTTATTTGGGAAAAAAAAATCCAAACCGATGTCTGCACGAGTGGGTACAGCGTTACCACCTACCAGTGCCCACCTGATGGACCAGTTGTAACTTGGCTGGTTACTTCTGGTTTCTGTAGCCATTCCTGATTGGTTTTTAAAATATTAGTGTTAGCTGTTGGCTACCCATGGTGATTAAAGTTCATGAAAGTTCTTATGTAGATGTAATGGTGATTATTTGCCATTTGTATATTCTGACTAATCGATTAAGTGCTTCATGTCATGTTCTTATTCTAGTCGGATGAAATCTTGTCAGAAGATTCATCCAGAAGTTAGCTTTGGCCCTGTTTGAGAATGCTTATCTGAGAATCGGTTTTAATCTGATCAGAATTTTCTGATAAGCTGCAGTCTAATAAACCTGCAGTCTGAAAAATCTAGGTGTTTGGCAATCCTGATAGTTGTCGGTAGATTCTCTATCATGAATGTAAAATGACTTATATGCCTCTAGGCTGGTAATAGATTATTTGTTGATTGATGAATATGAGTGAAAGCAACTATGACAATATTTTTTTTAATTTATTGTACCATATAATTTGGATAGAAGTTCAAATGAATAATGGATGAGTTGACATCGTTACCTTATATGGGGTCCACTATAATACAATAAAAAAATCAACCTTATCCCAACTGCCGGCTCTCACCACCGATCTCCATGGCCGCAGCGACGAGTTCTCACTTCTGTTCTTCTCCCCAGCGGCAAATCACTCCTTTTCTTTCTCATCCAAATCTGATTCTTCAGCAAAAATTCCACCTAGATCAAACGCAGTACCACAGCTTCCTCCACCATGGTCTGTTACAGGGCGGCGGCAGCTCCGATTTTCGGCGGCGACGGCATCCAGGAAGGAGGCACAGCTCTTGTAGACATCGGATTCCGCAGCTTCGTTGATCTCCTCAGCAGGTTTGTGTGGTCGAGCAGGGCGGCCTGCCCAGCAGGAGTGAGCAGGAGCGCGGAGCGAGCCTGCGGGGGCATGTTGCGGGGTGGAGGGAGGGCAAGGAAATGAAAAATCCTCGCGGTGAAGGAAACGTAAGGATAACCTCGCGGTACAGAAAACACACAGTAACACTAGAGCTGGATTCCTTTCAACGCCGCTGCCAAAACATTCGAGAAAGAATTGTAGCGTTTGGGTGGGGTTGTTGATTATTTTCACCTAGAATCGGATTTTAAGCTGAAACAAACACGGCCTTTAGCTCATGCGATATCATGGTGACATCAGGAATCAAACTATTTGAAAGCAAACTTGATGCAATGTAGATATCAAATATATTATGTTGATATACGCACATAGTGAAAAGTTTTGGATTGTATGCAAGCAAATCAGTGAACTTCCAGTGGCATACACAAAAACTCTCCATACATTAAAATTTTAGATTTTCTAATTTAGCAATTAGCACATCTAAAGTAAGGCTGACACAAGACACTAAGAGATAAAGGGAAAGAGGGCAATTGCAACCACACAACAAACTAAAGAAACTAAATAGTTGGTGCTCAAGGGAGGGTTGAGTGGAGCCCCTCCCCAATCTGGCAGCGCTCTGTTCAGCGCTGATCGCTACTAGAACTTGGAACTCATGGAGTCAAAGCCTCAAAGGAGAGAAGAGGGGATCAGTGAATGGAGATACTTATTGGATGAGAATGTGAGAGAGCAGACAAAGGAAAACTCAGACAGTGTTACAGAATACTAAAATGGAGATACTTAGACTACTAATTCTTTGCTAAGTGTGGAATGAGTCAATAACGAGAGCAAAGATGAGTTATGCACCTTACATGTATTTCACCATTGGGTCTAGTCTGCCCTTTAGCATCAGCTTTCGTGCATAGGCCTATTTTATCATATTATTATTTTTTCAGCACTTTACTAGTATTAGCTAGTCAGTGGTCTCAGAAAAGCAAAACAGCTATATTTTACTAGAATTGGTAGCACTTGTCGTAACAAAGCACATGAATTGTGCAGTCCATTTCTGCGAGCAGTTTGGCAACACTGTAATGTCCACATCAACCTTCATACTTCATATTTTCTTTTTCTGCGTCCACACTTATTAATAAGCTGCCATGTTTTCTGCTCAAGAAGGGTACAGAATGCCAGAGCTGAAAACGTCTGGACCTAAATGTGTTCCACTGTTTCATTCTTTATTTTTGAAATTGTATATGACTTGTGGGTAAGACATGCTATTATGGTGCTGTGATTTGCTCAGTGGAGTGATACTAGTCATTGTGCCTACTTCTGATCCTATTGAGTTATGATTTTCCACTTCAAAGATACTCTGGGAGCTTCAGTTCATCAACTAGAATATGTTTCCTTGAAATAAAATGATTTATTATTTTTTCGCGGCATTTTTTGGACGTCATGTAGATACAGAAGCACAAGCCACTTCACTAAAGAGATTTTTGTATTAGGCCACTGGTATGAACGTATTGAGTGGCGGTTAGTTTTTATTCGCAACTTAATATGTATCTTATCGCCTTTTTGTTTCTTGCAGATGAATCTTGGTATTCGTTTCTGCAGCCCGCTGACTGGGAGATACTGATAATGGATGCCATCCTTGATATTCATACTGAAGATGGTAAACACCGAACAATGAGGGTAACCATTCCAGACAACACACCTGCTCCGCCACCAGCAGACTGCACCGCGTGCAAGTCCCATGCAGCTCCACCACCACCTCAGCATCCTGCGGAGAAGTGAATCCATTGAGGGATGTCTTTCCATTTGAGGCCTTGTTTGGATGCATGTGTATCCACTTTAATCCACATGTGTTAGAGTGGAATGAAATAGAATTTAGTTCAGTTTCACCCCAACACACTTTAACACATGTGGATTGAGATGAATACATGCGCATCCAAACAAGGCCTGAACATGGTTACTATGGAGTGATTTATTCTTTCCACAATCCCGTACGAACCTGGTGGGAATAAACGTTTTATATTTTTGGCCAAGAGGACCACAGGTCGATCTTAGGAGATAGTAAGAATTCTTTTCTGATATTGGAAATACCTATGGGTTATTATGGAATAGGTTAGAGGAATTTGTTATCTGGCGGGCCATACTCTGAAGGTCGGGCCGATCAGTATTTAAACAGCTGAGATTAGCTTAGCGTACAGCACTTGCAGAAATCTGTTGGGTTGATGTTACACGACTCTATGAGAAAGCCTATGTGGCCAGCTTTTGAGTTGTCGTCCACGTTGCAATTCTTGCTAATCAGGAAGCATGTTAGGTATGTCATGTTTTCGTTTGAGCAATGCTTTTTACTGGAGAATAATGCCTGCAGAGCAGGTCAGCCAAAATAAGCTTCCGACATCTTCAGGGCGTGATTGCCTGATTGGTTCTCCGCTGACCCCGACCTAGCTGGGAATCAACAGTCCCAGTGCTAGAATCACAGCCACTAGTTTCTATACCTTTTAAATCATGTATAGAAATATTTGCTTCAAAACAATTTTATCTAATCATATGTCTTCTCTATTATCTACCTATTACGGCCCTGTTCGCTTGTCTTATAATTCGTTTTTCAGCTGGAACAGTGCTTTTTCTCACAACAAATTAGCCGGAACAATGTTTCAGTTTGTTTTTACAGCGAAGCGAACGGGACATCTCTTCAGATATTGGTTCTCGTGTAAACATAGGCCTTGTTTAGTTTCTTTTCCTAAAGTTTATTTTCTATCACATCGGATGTTTGACACATGCATAGAGTATTAAATAGACTAAAAAAATAACTAATTGCACAGATTGCGACTACTTTGCGAGACGGATTTTTAAGCCTAATTAGCCTATGTTTTGACAACGTGGTGCTACAATAAACTACTGTAACATGTGCCGATGGCGGATTAATTAGGCTTAATAAATTCGTCTCGCGGATTAATGATGACTTCTGTAATTTATTTTATTATTACTATCCGAACACTCCTATGTGACACCTCTAAATTTTAGCCCCTGGATTTAAACACCACCTTAGTTACTTATCTAAGAAACTATTTTTTCATCTCTCTTCTTAAATTCCAATGCCACATCATCATTTTACTTCGTTGGTACCCTAATAATTAATGAACATAGAAACACTAGTCATAAATTTGTTCGCCATTTATAGACTTGGAACCATCTTTTAAGTTGTTTATTCGTAAAAGGATGCAAATTTCTGAAGTCCTTTCTCTTACACATGCAAAGTTGTGAAGATTTTGATTTCTTTTTATTATCCTAGAAAAGTTTTAGCAATGTGTAGATAAAAGTGTTAGATGCTTTATTCCATAGATAAACAGCCTGTTCGCTTGTTGGTTTCAGCCAGCCCAAACTAGCCAGCCAACAATGTTTTCCTCTCAAAAAAAACCAGCACCAGCCAGCCCAAACCAGCACCAGCACCAACCAGCGAATAGGCCCAAAGTGTGAGACGCTTTTGTGCTGTCTTGGTGTGTGCAGTACTATCACAATGGAAATTGTCTTTGTTGTCTTTATTGATCACTCATTTTTGTGTGATTCCAACCAAACGCTGCAATAGAAATGGACTTTCTAACTCGATAACGGTTCAGACGCGCTAAAAAAAACCCCGCGCTACCTTTATCCTGCGGCACGACACCTCCATTCCCGCCGCACGTCCATCCCACGCGTATCCCCCGCGGCGCCTCCACCGGCCGCTGCCCACTGTCGGATGCTGCACCCGCCGTCGGCCCTTTCTTCCCGTCCCCCGCCCGGCCAGAGCTCCCCGCCGGCCCCTTCTTCCCGCCAAAGCTCGCTGGTAGCCTCCTGCGCCTGCGGCCGGCCCCTTCCTCCTGGCTAGAGCCCTCCAGCGGCCTGTCCCCGCCTCCCTCTCTGCCCACATGCGACGGCGGTAGCCCGCAGCGGGGTCAAAGCTCGCCGGCAACCTGTCCCCACGCGCCCCTCTGGTCGCCTCCAGAAGGGGCCGCGATGGCGCTGCCCTTCGCCTACCCATCCCCTGCTCTACACTACGTCGTAGGGAAGAAGGGTGAAAAACGCATGTTGTAAGCGTATGTTTTAAGTGTTTCAGATATTTCAGAGGTATGTTACGAGTGTTTCATGCGGATGTTGCAAAAGTATATCGGGATGTTGCATTTGTTGCAATGGCTGTATACGTATGTTGCAAGCTTAATTCTATTGACAATGTTTCATTTGTTTTTTCAGACGTATGTTACAAGTGTGTTTATTTAAATATTGTATATGTTTCACACATATGTTGCAAGTGTTTTATCTGGATGTTGCGTATGTTTTATAGCATTTTTCAAGTGTTTCTCAGGTGTTTTTGGAGGTGTTTCATATGTATATTTCAAGTGTTTCATCTGCCTTGAGACATATGTTACAAGTGTTGCATATGAATGTTTTAAAAGTAGATCGAGTATTGCATCTCCCTCATCGCTTTCTGCTGCCTCGCCTCGGTGTCTCGTCCTCCTCCCGACGCCAGCTAGGCACCTGCTGTCTCCTTCCCCTCTAATCGATGTTGAGGGAATTACAATGGTTCTTTATTATCACTGCTGCAAACAATTTATCACGTTTATTACATCTCACTTGTTCCCACAACAACAAATGTATTTTTGTCAACAAATGTACATAATTTTGAAGGGGCATGCAGCACTAGAGCCTGCTGGTGGGCCTGATGCTGGAGATGCCAGTGATCTCCCTTGCGACAATGAGCGCGTTGACATCGTAGCTGCCCTCGTACGTGTACACAGTCTCCATGTCACAGAACGCCTGCATCAGTTCAGTGCGTTAGGGCGCGTTTAGATGCAAAATTTTATGGGTTTTGGCTACTGTAGCACTTTCGTTTGTATTTGTTAATTAGTGTCTAATTATGGACTAATTAGGTTCGAAAGTTTCGTCTCGCAATTTCTCACCCAACTGTGCAATTAGTTTTTTTTTTCGTCTACATTTAGTACTCCATGCATGTGCCGCAAGATTCAATGTGATGGGTACTACGCAAAAAATTTTGGGAACTAAGGCCGTTAGTCACACATATATGTGACACACATGACACAACCAACACACAGGAATTGCATAGATCGATGACCTACCTTGCCCACGTGGAAATCGGTGACGATGCCATTGCCGCCAAGGAGCTCCCTGCCGAGCGCCACCGTCTCCCTTGCCTGCTTCGCAATCCATGCCTGCAACATCGACCCATAGCTTCGTAATCCATGCCTGCAAAAACAAAGTGGGTTTAGAACTAGGCCACCAACGTACTGACCTTGCCCAGGCTAGCCTGGCCTGTGGTCATCTTGCCAGAGCCATGCAGCTTGCAGAGGCGCCAGCCGAGAAGCCACATGGCCTGGATGTTGCCCAACATCCTGACGAGCTTCTCTTGGTTCAGCTGGAACGCGGCCAGTGGCACACCAAACTGTTTCCTCTCTCCAAGGTACCTGATCAAACATAGCTAGGGTAGTTCAGCACAGTCACAGCAAGATGCAAGATTGCTAGCTGAAACCAGTGTCAATGGAAGCTAGCTGCTGATAGAGTGAATTTTTACCTATGACATGCATCATACACCCCTACTGCAATCCCAATGCTGACCCAGGCAGCCATGACACGACTGAAAGAAAGCGACTGCACGCAAAGAACACCATAGATTAATTATGTTCATGGACCAATTGTGGACTATATATATCAAGCTATTCTTAACATAAGGAGTAATTTTCTGTTAAGATATATTGATGAGAAAAAACAGTAGGGCCATTTATTACATCAACAAGGTCCTGAAAAGAATTGGCGCCAGGCAAACGATCATCATCGGGGACAAACACGTCCTCCAGCTGGATGTCGCAGTTCTGAACCATTCTCATCGACACCTTGTTCTCGATCTTGTTGATCTTCAGACCAGAACTCCCTCCATTTACTATGAAACTGCAATTTTTGTTCAACATAAAAACATTTAACATACATAGTTATCAGTTATATATGTGTGTGAACAATGGACAATGCCAATGCATATATAGCTTGACTTACCCATTGACCTGATTGGTGCTGGTATTCCGAGCAAGAACAACTAATACGTCTGCAAAACTGCTGTTCCCAGGCCACCGTTTTTTGCCATTTAGGGCCCACCCTCCAGGAACCTATCCAAGAAGTTCAGATCGATCAACTCACAGGATCAATCAGACTGGATGATATTGGGCCTACTAGTCAAATAACCACCTTTCTCGCCACAGTGTTCAGAGAGCTTGCATCACTACCATAGTCCGGCTCTGTCAAGGCCTGGAAATGTACAATGACAGTTAAAAACTTGCTAGCTAGCCGAACCTTAAATTAGCCAAAGTGCCATGGGATTGATTGTTTGACTTACATAAGCACAGACTTTCTGCTGTTTGCTCAGTGACGGCAAATGTTTATCTTTCTGTGCTTCAGATCCCATTTGTGCTGCTTGGTCACCACATATGCAGACACATGCATACACACATGTAAATCTTTGCCAGCTATAAACACCATCCAACAGTATATATCTATATTAATCTAAAACTATCTTTCTTTATCGCATTGAAATTCCCATGTCCACAAACCTAAAGAAGAATTAAAGTCACAAACTAAAACTTCCATTCCTTCCTAACAGTGCCATTACTTCGAAGCAGAACACCATCTAGCACTAGCATGTTGTATTCATTGATAGTTGCTATACAACTACAATTAACCAGTAATACATAAAAAATACATAGACTAACAATGTAAGATATGTGTTACTTGATTGACCATGATTAATCATCTTTATTCATAGAAAATGCCAGTCAAAGTACCACACTAATAGACCATGTCAATGTCGTGAACGTCATATATACTCATACTGAACCACAGGGACTTAGTGAGGAAGCAATAAATTAGTACATACCAATACAAAGCATGGCAAGACATGACTGAACCAAGCAGAATGAGGCTATGCTTGCATCCACACGAGCAACCTCTGATATGCACACAGCATAAGCGGTCTCTGATAGCCCAGGACATCCGTGGCCCTGAAAGAAGGGGGAAATGTGTAATCCAAGCCTTAAATTTCTCTGACCTACCTAAACAAATTATGTATAACCCAGTTACCAAAAAATCATAGCATTATAAAAACATAACCCGTGCCCATATCAATGCTTAAACTGCAAAAACTAAGCATTTAAGACAGTTCTGCTGACTATTTCATAAAAGATCCCTCAAATCAGTGAGTACATTGTTCAAGGGACCTTAGAACACTAAAATATGAATAATCCCAGATCAGTGAACAATAGACTATTCTTTTATACTTCATCTGGACAAACAATAGAAAAACAAGGCAACCCGACCCTATCACCATTCTTGCACCTTTTCATGCCTACCGCCTTTCGCCTTCACACCCTCTTCTCAGACTATGAGTTTGGTTGTCACTAATGTCTAGGATCATTATATGTGTTCCTGATGGGTTAACCTTGAGTATATTTCTATGTATCTAGGTGATCTAGGAGGATTATTTGGTATTATACTAGTTTTCAGAAACTATGATATTTAAGTTCTCTGCAGCCTTTTCTCGGTCAGCTTAAATGCATGATCTTTTTACTCTCTCCATTTCAACTTATAGCGCGTATTAGAATTCAAAAGAGTCAAACATCGTAAACTTTGACCATTATTTAGTCAAAATATATGTATGTTTAATGCACAAAAGATGCATTAATAGATTTATGCTCCATATATCTTTTAGCAAGATGTTGGTTTTGTAGTAATTGCTATATGGAAGAGATCACTGGTTAAAGTCTACCTTTGAAGCACTTTCTCAAATCCAAATAGGTCTCAGAGAAATAAATTGAGAGTACTATAGTATGGAATGTGGATAGATGAATGTAGATATACCTTGATGATGCCTCCAAGGAAACCAAGAGAACCTAGCTTTGGAATGAGATGAAATGGAAATTGTGCTGTCTCCCAGTACTATCCAAAGAACCCACAGAAGAAGCACAAAGTAAAATTAAGCATCAGCAAGAACCAATATAACATTTGAGAAAAAGGGATAAATAGAATATGCACATATAAATCAATGGACTAAGTGCAATAGGACCTTGGGTACTATTGGAGCAACTTCGTTCTCCATAAACTGCCTAATATTGATTCGTAAATTTTTCTCCTCTGGTGTCAGAAGTTCGTCAAGTTGATAGTAGTCTGACACTGGAAACAAGACAAACACAAGTAACTGATAGACTTAGCAGTTCCTAGTTGGCAAATTGCTAGAGTGCCAGCCAACTAATTGCAATTTTCTCGCTGGTAGATCAGCATCAGTTTTTGTGTCCTGTAGTAGATTTTGCAATAAATGTTTGTTTTTGGCGGGTTTAGGCCATTTGTTCGATAATTAGCTAAAAGATGAGCAATTGTTTGCATCTAGAGTTTAGATGAACATAAACAAGATAGCTTGTTGGGGACGCCCTAATGTGTGCGTGTAATGACTAGAGTCTAATTAATTTGTCACTGAAACCTTCATTATTAATTAGCTCCAAAACATTTCTGACTATTTAGTGCATGCAATGTGTGCAGATGATGATGTACCTGCTGCTGGAAAGACTGAAGCTGCTGGTGTGAGCCGAGAGCAAGCGACGGACATGATGTCCGAAGCCGGGGGCTTAAGCTTTGAAGGCTTCACCACGTCGTCCTTGGAACAATATCCTGAAAGTCTTTTATCATTACCATTAGCAGCAAAAAATAATAGGACAAGTAGTAACAATGTGATTGCCTATATTAGAGCATCTCCAGCAAAATCCAAAGAAGTCTCTTTAGTTTTGAGAGGTACTCCATCTGTTCCAAATTATAAGTCGTATTGACTTTCTTGGTACATCTATTTTGTTATGCATCTTGATATAATAATATGTCTAGATACATAGAAAAACCAAAAAAATCAAAACGACTTATAATTTAGAACGGATGGAGCAGAAAAAATGGTCTAACAGGCCCCTACTTAGCCCTCTAAAGTACTTCATTCTACTAAATTATAAAACATTTTAGCTTTTTTAAATATAGTTTTTACTAGACACCTAAATATGTATAGTATAAAATGTCTTACAACTTAAAATGGAAGAAGTAGCATGCAAATCCGGCATATGGAGGATTGGTAGGGGCGGCGGTCAGGCTGGGTGTATGCCTAGTGACGATGCAGCCCTGAGCCACTGAGCCGGTGGCAACGTGGTCCTAGAGGACACGAGTTCTTTGTGTTCTTACACTTGTGAGTAAAGAGAAGGGCAAGAGACGAGAGAGATGAAGCCTGCTCACGTGGTACGAATTGAAGGACAAAGGATAAGGGAAAAAGTAAGAAGGAAAAAGATTTAGCTGTACCAATAATAAACGGGTCACATATATATGTCACAGAAAAATATAAGTTGAGATTTTAGACCCAGAAAATAGGGAGCTTCTATTTTAATTAGTCCATACATGTTTTGATTTACTCTCTCCATTCATTCCAAATGATAAGATATTTTGACTTTTCTAGAAATATAGTTATTGCTATGAACTTAATTAGAACCATGTCTAGATATGCTGTTTTGTTTCGCTAAAATTTGGCTTATGTTGATGCTTATGCTGATTTGTTATGAGAGAAAAATATTTGTTCGTTCGCTGAAAAGTACCGATAAAGTAGTGCTGAAGAACAGGAGACAGTAAAAACAACTAGAAAAACCTAAAATATCTTATAATCTAGTAGAATGGAAGGAGTAAAGGATATAGTCCCGGAGATGGTTAGGGCGATATGTTGTATTGTGCATGCATTAAATCACACGTGTGCATATATGTGTATCCATCCGAGACTCGGTTGAACTGAATAATCCATCGAGTGAGTCGAACACAAAACTATCTACATGTATATGCATGCATGTACTGGGAGAGGAGGGGGGTCGTCCATCGATCTCACCTTGCTTTGCCATTATTCCTTGGATGGACTAACACACGCTGGGAGACGAGACGATAGTACGTAGCGGACGGACGACGCGAGCGAGAATAGGAGAGAAGAATGGAACGTTTTGATCCATACAGCTAGCAGTAGCAGTAGTATATATATAATTGTTTACGTTCTAGCGTCGAGAGGACTAAACGTGAGCACGTTCACTGCACATTGGCACCTTCAACGTCTGTAGGTCGTCGCTTAGAGGTCGTTTGGTTTGCACCTAACAAAACCTGTATGGCACCAGTGTCACCTCCAAAAGTTCGATTTTGGAGGCTTGGGGCTATGAGCAATGTACCAACGTTGAAGCTTATAAAGACGTAAAAGTCTCTACAAAAGAATTTTGACTGCTGCACTGCTAATGTACTACTAATGGCATATGTAGTTGGGGCAGTGTGGGTTAAGGACAGAACCAACATAAAATTTAAGTGACGGTCTGCTACTAATACACCTCTACAGCTAAAGGAAAGAAGGCATGTTTTCTTTTGAAACCCAGAATTTTAGTGACAGCCCGTGCCCTCGCTCTGTGTGTGCTAGGTCCGCCCCTGGCGTGGGACCCACACACTAGAGCATAGAATCATCTCCAACAATCTAGCATGCTGCTAGCTATTTGATACCAACTCATCCATGTTGGTCCTCCATGTAAGAAATTTTAAATTACTATCTTCTCTCTCCTAAATACACTGAATCCATACAAGGAAGAGTAGAGCGGCTTGGGCCAACCACCGTGCTTGTGTTCTTGGGTAGCATGCTCCTAGCTAGCGATGAAGGAAGCACTAACTAGTTGAGTTTTGCTCTCTCTCCTCTTCGAGTCACTCTTCGCCAGATCCCGATCCTAGTCAGCTAACTACATCGATGGCCGTTGGGGACGCCCATAGAGGGAGAACACCTACTAGCCGGTTACTACAACATTTTCTTTCTTATTTTATTCATCTAGATAGATGGAAATCGTGATGGAACATATAGACTGGTATGGCTAGGCACCATGGAACCTGCATGCTAAGACTATAGCTTCAAGTATTATTATAGAACAAATTTAAGAGATTGTTTAGATCTCAGCCACTGATGGCCACGCCAAAAGTGTGGCGTGTTGTAGCGGTGGCGTGGATTCTCGGCGCCACACTTTGTGGCGGGATTTCTGCCATAAAAATCTATAGCTACCTCGTTTAAATCACCAACCAACAGAGCGCTTCGATTCTCGTGAGGAGCCACAACTATGGCGTGGCCGCCAACCAAACAGGATTAATGGATTAATAAAATTAATAAATAAAAGCAGGGAGGGGAGGGCACCCAAAGTAGCCAGCCGGGAAAGCAACCCCTCCTCAATTTCCTCCTTTGACGACTCCTACCTTTCCTGCCTGCTTTCAACACCGCCTCCTCCTCCTTTTCCTTCTCATGTATTCCACTTCCACACCCTCTTTTGTAGTTTTTTGACTAGAAAAAACACCTCATGTTTGCAAATATGCGCTTTGTACAATAGGAAATTCGCATTTGAGCTTTGACGATGATGATGGGTCTGTGGATGCGAATTTCAGCTGGTCTAGAGGCGTGGGGACTGGGGGTATATATGGGGAAAAAAAAGGATTTGGAATTATCTTACCGATGGAGCCTCTCTCCAATCAGATACGGTGCTGATATGGAATCTTATAAGATCTACGAGCACCACTTCATACTACCTGACTTCGTGCAAATTTTAAGTTTATTCTATGCTAAGTTAAATTATATAATTTTCACTAAGTTTTTTTTACAAGTTGAAAACATACTACCAAGACATATTTCATGTAAAATTTCATAAAACTTATTCGATGATGTGAATATTGGTGCATCTTTAATATAATCTCCGCATAGGGAGAGTGTATCTATATAGTCTAGTCTTTAATATACTGATCACATAACACACAGAGATGTTGTCTGGCTCCCACCCACAGCCTGCCACGCCGCTGGTGCACGCTGCCGCCCAAGTTGCGGCCTAGCCTGGTAATGACTTGGAATCGCTGTGGGCGCCGCATCTCTCTGCTATAAACCAAATAGCGCTATTAATTTATGTGGCTGTCATGCATTGTGGACTGGCTAGTTGTGGCTTGCAACCAAACACGCTGAGAGTACACATGTTTATATTGTTTTATTTATGGGTTTTTGGTTTTAGAAATTGTCGATTGGTAGAGCTTGAGAAATTTAATATCACGAATTCATTTCATACTAAAAGTTCGAGTTAATAATTTTGATTTTGTCCTTAATTAAAATTGGGAGTTGCCTCTCGTGAGCATACATGTTTTGTAGAAGAATATGGAACTCACATGGATTTTGATTTATGGACTATACAAAATGTATACGCTACAACGATGTATATACATAAGGAAAACAGAACAAAAAAATATAAGCTTTAAGCGTGGAAGGAAAATATGCAGTCTTTGAGGGGTACACGTGAAGACTTCTCCGGGAAAAAAAAATTGTAGTAGTAACTGTTACGTTTGACACGAGCACGGTAGAGCAGGGCCGTCCGACGCGACGACGACGACCACCAGTCCACCACACGCGACGACGACGACGCGACTCGCGCGGCGGGAATAGGTAATACTCCATCCGTATAGAAATGGTAATCGTACTAACCAGAGAAAAAGTCATACAAACTTTATTTTTTAACATTATTTTCTCTTATAATATATAATCAATTGCTAAAAAAATCAGTATCCTCTCAGAGACACTTTGAACATAAATTTATTAATTTAAGTTTTATGACCTACTACTTAACTAGATGTTGATCAAAATTTTTAAAGTTTGACTTTTCTTGTCAAATATGATTACCATTTTCTGTGCGTGGTTTGCCATTATCTCACTCCTTGCGAGCCGTCAATCATTACATGTTTGACCAAGATAGGCACACGCGTTGTCGGCACAAGGAGTTATGGCAAGATTTTATTCCATGTGTGTCTGACGCGGCTTCGGTTTGACCTGCTTTCAATCAATTAAAAAAAATAACGTAGCAAGGAGTTGCTTCCGAATCCATACAAGTTATTTGTCACAATAACGACCCGCCTTGGTAGAGACGAACATGGTTTGTAATAAAAGTTGTATGCCTAGTTCTCCTCTTAACGAAGAAATACGCGTCGACGGACGTGTTCCAAAAAAAAATGTTGTATGCCTGGTACAAAAGTTGAGCTGAGGAAAATCTTCCCATGAAATCCGAGATTTCCAAATCCAGACAATGCAAGTTATTTCCAACAAAACCTGGCATGTTAGAGATGAATGATTGAGATTAATGTTAGATAATTTTCAACTTAAAGCGGCACATATAAATTAAGGAAATAATTCTTATATTAAAAGGTCTGTGTGTGATGGTTGCTAGACTAATAAAGGATATATGAATTATATATGAGTTTTGCTCTAGTCCGTGAGCACCGCCGGCAACTGCGGACGTAGGCTCGGTCTCCAGGTGCAACCGCCGGCACCGTCCGTGAGCACGATGGGACCAAAACGCATCTGAACAAGCGTATGCGGCAACTGCACGGTGAAGATCGACAAACATGGGCCCTGGCTGGGGCTGGGCTTGGATTGGGCATGGGTAGGACTGGACCCAGATTAGACCCATGACCAAATGAATTATAATTAATTACCTGGTTACTTCAAGATTCGTGCAAATCTTTTAAAGAGGACCACTGGAGCACAGCTCATTATATATTAGGTTGAAGTACCCTCTCCTCTCCCTTCAATTAAGTATTGTAATCTGTGTTTTGTAGTGTGCACGTTACATTTACATGAGGTAGCATGTTGGATGGACTGACCAGCTTCTTCCATGCATGTGCTGTAGTAACTGTGTACATGAATTGAATTAATTCTTCTAATTCTTAGCACATGAATGTAGTGCATTGATGCACTACATGGATTGAATTAATTCTTCTTATGAATTGTAGCATTAGCTCTTAGTGCTCATTAGTGTAGGTGGCTGCATGCATTCCCTTGACATGGCCTCGAGCTAGCTAACAAGCAGGCATGTAAAAAAAGTGCCACTAAAGTCAAAATACATATATGAGTAGACTAGTTCTTTTGTCATCAAGAAAATAAGAAAGGCAAGAAGATGTAGAAGAGAGAGATATTTTCAAGATATAAGGGGCAAACATGACGTAGGTGAGTTTTGTGCTGTTTAGCACATGAACAAGTAAGAAGTTTCTCCTCTTGCAATGCATATGTGATTTTCTACATGAACAGTCAGCTTGTGATTTTCATCTCTATAGCAAGTCAAAGTATGAAATGAGGTAGCTCTAGAAGAAATATGGGAAAGGGAAAGCCTTGACTTCACACTTCACCGATGATAAGTTTGTCGCTAAATCGTGTGTCTAGAGGAAATATCAATCATCAGTATGACAACGATGAAGAAAGAAAATAATCAATCTATGATTGGATCCAAACTAAACTCTCCTAACAACTGCTTCCACACCTCTGCCGACTGCTGTTGTTTTCGTCCAAACTCTCGTTCCACCTATGTAGTCCCAAATCATTTTCTTCCAAACTCTCTCTAGTTCGACTTATGTACTCCCAGATCTGTTTGCGGCCACATAGTACTCCATCCATCCTAAATTATAAGTCATTTCAAGAATCTTGGAAAGTCAAATCATCTCCAGTTTAACCAAATTTATTGAATAATGTAATAACATTTACGATACCAACTAAGTATCATTAGATTATTCATTAATTATATTTCCATAGTATACCTATTTAATATTATAAATCTTTGTAATTCTCTCTATAATTTTGGTCAAACTTGATATAGCATGTGTAGCATCCGCAATAGCGGCCACTATAGTAGTAGCGGTCTTCTGCAGATAAAAATATCTTCTTCAAAATTTGCAAGCCACTATTGTTGTTATTGCCTTATTAGACTACTATTTTGCTCTGTAGATGGTTCAAGTGACAATGTGGATGATTCCAATCCAATTGGTAATAAAACTGTTTACATAGTGATTTGGGCTACGATAAAGAATGATG